CTGGTTTGATCTCGGCTCCCTGACCTCCTGCCAGTTTACATTTAGGGTCCTGACCCTGATACCAGAGTTACTAGCTGGAGTCAGTAGTGGCTCTGAGTTCTAATGTGGCTGGCCCCATTCTGAGATGTCTCCCAGCCAGTTTACCTCTCTTTGAGGACCCTGAAAGCAGAATAATTCACCAGCCACTTCACTCCACTGTGACCTCTGTTCCATTCCACTGTGTCTCTCTGTGGAAGCCTCTGGGGTCACCAGTAGTCACTAAGCATCTGCAGGATGAGCTGCCCCTCCCACACACCAAGTCCAAGCTCAGGGACAAAGTGCAACTACATTTTTTTTGTTGTTGTTGTTTTTGAAGTCTCTCTCTTTGCTCTCCTTAGCTTTAAATCTCACTTCACTTTCTTCCTGTATCCAGGGACCCACCTCCTTCCTTTTTTTTCTCATGTAGCCCACATTCTGGACACCACACCTAGGAGAAGGTTTTTTTCTGCTGCTGACCATTCCACCATATTCATTGAAATCCAAGAGTTTATCTTTAGAAGGCATCCTCCTGAATACCTGGTCTCTTTTTTCTGCAATCAGTAGAATGCAAATAAATCACACATAGCCTCCCTGGAGGAAGAGGAATTTGCCAACTTCACCAGTAGCTACTGGGGGTAACATTTGCAGGACATTAGTTCCTCTATAGAAAACTCAAGTTTTGTATTTTCATATTTTTATATTTCCAAAGCAGACAATTTTCATACAAAAAACATGAGCTGTGTACCATGAAACAAGATATAAAGCTGTGTGTGCTCATATCATGGAAAGAGCTTAGACCGTAGTTGTTGTGGTGCTTACCAATACAGCCATCACCAGGGAAGCTGAGGCAGGAGGATTACCATGAATTAAAGGCTAGTGTTGCCTGTGTTGTGAGACCTTGGCTCAAAAAAAAGAAAATGATGCTAGCCCATAATGAGAAATTATATTCAATTAAATAATATCAGTGTTAATAAATTGTCCTGGTGCTAACATTCTGAGAAATTCAATACCAGAATTTGTTATAGAGCAAGAGGCCATGAAAACAGCGCTTTACTCCACAGAGGAAAACCAGCTCAGACCTGATGCTGCAGCTCAGGGGAGGAGCCCACCCCTCTGGATGCCCAGATGTTTCCACTTGGGGATCAGGACTGAGTACAGACAGCTCACCATGGACTTTGGAGTGAGCTGGGTTTTCCTTTTGGTTGTTTTAAAATGTGATTAGCAAAGAACAGAAGATATTGAGTGTGAGAATCCGCATGTGTGGAATAAACCATGGCCATGTGTGATGGTTTCCCGAGCAGGATGTCTCTGGATTGCAGCTGTCCAGTGTGAGGGGCAGGTGGTGGAGTCTGGGGTCAGCTTTATGCGGTCTGGCTGTCTGTGAGCCTCCCTATGCAGCCTCAGAATTCATCTTCAGTAGCTAACATGGACTGATTTCCCAGACTCCAGGGAACGGCTTGAGGGGCAGTTGTGCATAATAAGACTGGTGGTAGGACAAAGTATGGAGAGGCCTGGAAAGGTTGTGATTCACTACCACTAAAGACAATGCCAAAACCATGTTATCTTTGCAAATGAACAGCCTCAGAACGGAAATGGCAGTGCATTACTGTACAAGGGACATAGTCAGAGGATCCTGATGTAAGCCAGTGCAGGATCTTGTGCAGGGCAACTCGGGACCAGCAAGGGTCCAGATGGAGACCAAGAATAGATGCAGGGCTTCTTGTCATCCTTTGGCTGTCTTAGCATCCTAAATGTAAAGATCTTGCATGTAAATCTTGAATATCACTGCAGCAATATTTATAAGTGGCATCTAAAGAGATGACTAAGACACACATTTTTCACTGGTTTATACTGTTAATTGGAGAGATCCTCACATATGTGTTTCCCAGCACTCAGGATGCCGAGACAGGAGGACCTCGAGGTCGAATCGAGTTCTTGCTGCATACAGTTCTAGGTCAGCCTGATATACAGCGTGAGACCTTGACTTGAAAGAAAGAAAGAGGGACCAGGGATTAAACTCAGTCGTGTAAGTGCCTGCCTGGCTAGCATAAGGTCAAGAGTTTAATACCTGGTACCAAAAAAGAAAAAAGAAAGAAAAGGAAAAAGGAAACCCCAGAAAAATAAATGAGAAATTCAAGGAGTCAGAGTTCCATGGTCTAATAGTACTTGTAATCTTACTTGAAAATTAGAGCTTTGGAGTGTGGCCATGTGGATTATACCTTTGTCTGTGGCTTTTTCTGCTTGGATGTAGCTCCCTCACCTCTTCATCTGCTTCTTGATCAATAAGAGGAAAGAAGCAGTGTTCTGCCTTGCATTCCTACCATGATTTGAAATTTAGAATGTATACATCTCAAATAAAAATTCCAATTGAAGATTTCAAATATTTTGTCACAGGGATATGAAAGTAATGCAAATGGAGAAGGATCCAAGTTCAGATGCCATCTTTTCTCATAGGTATGAGACTACTCAGAACTCAATGGGCATTACCAACAGCATTTATATAGTAGTAAATCTGATTAAGTACCTGTGCACTAAGAAGGATGTCAAGGAGGGAGTGCACAAGTCAACCTTCACAGATTTCATGTGGAAACTGCTACTGAATTAGGTGCTCAGAGAGGTCAGAACCTTGATCCTTGGAAAGAGAAATTCATGAACTTGACCCATCTTATTTAAACTGGCTAGAGGTACAATAAAAAATTTACAATTTTTGGCAGCATATTTTAAGCAAGTCTCTAGTTTGAGCCAGGGTGATTAGATCATTTGTGAAATAGATGGCATTATTAATAGGCAAAATACAATCACTGCACAGAAATTATATTGGAACTGGTAATTCTGCACAAAGACTGCAGTCTTACAAGGTAAAAGAATGAAGTTGTGTACCAAAGAGAAGATGTTGGAAGAGTTTTTTTATTCAAAGTAAAGAGGTTTTAAAAAGCTCCCTAGAGGCTGGGAATTTAGCTCAGCGGCATAAGTGCCTGCCTTGCAAGTGCACAGTCATGAGTTCGATCCCTGGTACCAATTTAAAAAAAAAAGTGTTCCCTGGTTTATCCAAAATGAAAGTTAAAAAAAAAATGAAGAAAGAAAGAAGGTTGGATTTACACATGATGCTATCGTATCAGGCAGCTTGCACTGTATTGCATCACCACAGCCAATAAGAAATTGTAAATTCCGTAACAATAAGGGCTTAGAGATAACCATTTAAAAGGAAAATGAAAACACATTATTTCGAAGTCAGAAAAGAAAGGAGGGATAGACAGCTAACTGGTGAAAAGGTACTGGGTGCAAAGTCAGATACCTGAAGGTCTTTGTTCCTGGCTGCTTCACTAAGAGGCCATTCCCCTGGAATTTGTGCCAGGGCCTAGGCTCTCATCGCAAGTGCCACTGCCTACCTGTGAATTTCTAAGTGAGTTGCATTAGGCTTTCTTTCATCCTGTCCATATTTTAGATCTAAATTTTATGAGTTGTTTAAAAGGAACCTTACTGAGAGCCCAGCCAAGAGTCCTGATTGTCTGCTTTAAGAATACAGTGTCAAAAATAAAAGACAGACACCTATGGTAATGCATCAGTGGCTGAGAAATCAAGGTCTCTGGATGGATCCTCCTCCACACCCAAAGCAGCCACCATTTATTAGGTGTATACAGTGATAGGTGGGGAAGGCAAGAATTACAGCTCATCAGAAGACTAAGATTCAAAAGGGTGTAGATGATCACATTCTAAGAAGGATCTTGTCCTGGAGTATAATCCTGGGATGACTCAAGAGGGGGTAGATGGTCTTATGCTTAGAAGAGTCAATGGGAAATCTCACATTGGTGGTACCACAATATGAACTTCCATTTTATCTCATAGGGTACGAAGTATGAAAAATTAGTCATTGTGAATTTGTGGTCTCCAGCAGAACCTTAGAAACCAAGTCAATTTTACATTTAAGAAATGGACTAATGCATTAATATAGTGAAGCTAGATTCAGAGTAAATATCTGTATCTACTTATATGTATATATATATACATATTATATATATATATATATATATATATATATATATGAAGAGAGAGGGGAGATAGAATAAAAACATGTATATACACTGCAGGAGATTGAAAATCATATTTTCAATTTCAGTATATTTGGAATGAATGGCCACCATTTTGGTCATCTCTTCTAATAATAGAGACCAAAGTTAACTTGAATTTTTCTCATGGCGTCTCAATAAATTTAGTATTAAAATCACAATTTTGTGCTTACAGTCTAAATTCCTTTGGTCTCCCAGTCCTACTACCGGGAAGTGGATCAAATGTGGGGCTCTTATTTCAGCAATCATTCTGGCAGTCACTCTTGGCTATGGTTACATTCACAACTAAGGTATGTTTTATGAAACGCCTGGATAGAGTATGATCCTTGTCTGGCAGAGTTAAAATGTTAATCTTTCTTTCACCTTTTACTGTTTCATAGAAATTTGCTATCTTTATTTTTACTTTCTTCTTTTACAGACAGTTGTATTCTTTTTGAAGTCCATAAATTCATTTTTTGGATTAAAATGAGTAGAATGAGAGTGTGAAATTCCTGGCATTGAAATCTACCACCTGATTCAACAGCAGTCCCCACTGCATTCAACTTTGCCCTGGACTGACCTGGACTCGGTGTTTTCCGTCATCAAGCAATTGATTCTTCCACAGCACATTCGCCCTGCAACCTTCTAATCACACTTGTGAGGTACATTCAGGAAGAGTCACTCCGTCCATTAAGAAATCCAGGGTATTTTTGAAAAGCCAAGAATGTAGCCCTTACATGCAATATTCTTCCTGTGCTGTGTGGCTGACATCTAAAGGGAGAGACTAGACTACAAGTTCCAGGCTATCACAGGATCTCTACTCCTGTCGGAAGAAGTTTGTTTAATCTCAAACTGGAGTTGGTGGCCAAAGTGCAGCAGCCAGTCGGCGATGAGGGCGGGGCCTGGCAGACGCGCCCAATCAGGAGGCCGAGGGGATGGGCACTTCCTGTGTCATGGCAGGCGCGTTCCCGCCGGAGTGGATTGCTGAGCGCCCCGGCGGCGTCACCTCCGTTTCCGTGACTCACACGTACTGCAGGCTGCGTGCAGAGGACCCCATAGACCCCAAGCCTCGCAATGGTGATGTGTGGGATGAGGGCTGGGATAGGCGGGAATTGTGTGAGCACTGAACGGAAGTAGTCATAAGCTACTGTGTCAACCAATAGCCTCCCTGCTTAGCCCCAGAACCAGGGATGCGATAGGTCTTTGTCGCTGCTTTATCATCTGTTCCTTTTTCCCTCTGATCAGCAGGGACAGTTTTGAGTCCCCAGCATGCTGTCCCCACTGTGGCACTGCCAACCCAGAATGCAATCCTGGGCGTCCCCGGCACGACTATGTCTCTACCAAGCTGACCGGAGCGCTGGTTTGGTGGGAAGCGGGCTCCACCGTCCGCACTGAGGAAGTTATCGCTACTATTATTAAGGCGGACCTCTGCTCGCAGTGTTGCTACTGCATAGGCAGAGCTAATAACCTCATATTAAAGAATGAATTATCGAACGAACAAAGGACGTTAGGAGAGATTTTATTGGAAATAAGAATAGCTCCCTGAATTCCAGGAAGCGCCCCAAGTGGGTGCCCTTGTGGGAGCTCAGTACAGAGTGAGTTATAAACAAGCAGAGCCGAGCAGTTACTCAGTTCAGTTGTTCACTGGGTAAGTGTTACGCATGGCTGTGTAGGTTTAAAACACTTTTTCTTTTTTGGGACCGGGGATAGAACTTAACGACCTTAAGCTTGCCAGGCAGGTTCTTGTGCTGCTGAGCTAAATCCCCAGGTGAGCTAGGTTGTTTTGTTTTGTGTCTTGTCTTTTTGAGACAGATGGGTTGCTCTACAATTCAGGCTGGCCTTGAGCTCACTTTGTAGCGCAGGCTGGTCTCGAACTCTCAACGGCTTTTTCAAATTTTGGCAGTTCTACTGCTTCAGCTTCTGAAGAGGTTGGAGTGCAAGAGTGAACCATAATGCCAGCCCAAACAACCACTTTAATCAAGCTCTTTAACCATTTGCTCAGCTTGCAGGGTTTAAAGGAAATAGGTTTTAGAGAAAATTGGTTATTGTGTATGTCACAGTCCTCGAAAGTCAGTTTAGTAGGGGTTGTCTGTAACTTTTTTTAGTTGCGGGGAGTCTGCATTGTTCCTTGACACAGAAAGTTCACCTTCGGTTGTAAACCCTAGGTCATTGTGTACTCTTATTTTAATTCTTATCGAAACTGTTAATTTCCCAACTCTACTTCAAGCCCTTTCTCTATTGAAGTGTCTTTTTTTTTTTTTTTTTTTAATGTTTTTATCGGGAACCGAGTATCGAAGTCACGGCTTGCAAGGCAGATGCTTATGCAGCTGAGATAAATCCCCAGCTCTTAGGTGCCTTATGTATGAGGTGACTAACTAAAGTGCTGTTTACAATTTTACTGTTGCAGTGAGGCTTTCCATAGAATTTAGAATGCTGAGAAAGATGCAGAGGTTGAGCTGGACATGGGGGTTGAAACTGGAGAATCACTGGGAGTTCAAGGCCAGCCTGGGCTATAGAGTGAGCTCAAGGCCAGCCTGAACTGCATAAAGAGACCCTGTCTCAAAAAGACAAAAAAAATAAAGTAATTTGTAAAAAAAAAAAAAAGATGCAGAGGTACTAAGGACACTTTCCTGTAAGGGTTGTCTATTATACACACACTGCAAAACATTCTGAACTGGGCAATAAGTGTTACAGAAATTTCACTGAGAACCATCTTGGGATTTATTTATTTACTTTTGGTCTCTTTGTTCACAGGGGCTGATATGTAAATCATTTCCAAAGTACTTTCTCATCCATTGCATTGTTATGTGGTTCAGGATCTTTCCGATGTACTTGAAAACAATTATATTTAGCTCCAGAAATAATATCATAATATTTTCCCTGGTAATTGGAAAGAACTGACTTTTCTTTAGAATTTAGTAAGAACTAAAGTAAATGAGATGAGCTTGGAGTGTATGGGTTGATTTTCCGTTTTTGAATAAGCCAAATTACTGAGTTTTTTCACATGACAATTTTCCTTGGTGATTTTCTCAAATTAGATTTACATCTTATTTTATATTCAGAGTTTATCTTCAGTGAGCTATATTTTACTTACTATTTAGACTTGTATTCATAAATATCTACTGTGTACAAAATCTTCATATTGTCTACACTTTAAATATTTTCTTTTTGTTATATTAATTTTCCATGCTTTTCACAAATACCAATTTTTCCTCCTTAGCTACTTGAGTTTCTTTTGTGGAAACACTTTTTTTATCTGCATGTTTATTTCAATATATAACCTGTGTACACAGGCTAGATGGGTATTAAGTCTAGATTGCCAAGCACATACCTGTTCCTACAAATATAAATAAAATACATTGTGATTTCTTCCATGGGTGGAAACTCCAGTTGCATCCAAAATCAATAATCTATTTCCTTCTGGATCCACTGAAGACTGCCTCTTTCATAAGACTCATTTGTCTTATATACTTAGTAGAACAATACACTGATTTGAAAGGTGCAGTTTTAATGTATTTCATGTATATCATGCCGGATAATCACCTTGCTCACAAGGTATTAAATGCTTTTAGTCTTTTATGATACTACCCAAGAAACTGAGACAGGATCTCACTTTGTAATTTAGACTGCCTTTGTATGTACTGCATAGCCCAGGGTGAACAATGAAATCATGATAATCTCAAACTCTTTGATGTTTGCCTTACCAAGCCTCCAAAGTACTGGGAAATCAGTACCACCATGCCTGATTAAAGTTTGGCTTTGTGATCATGGCCTGATTACTTTATTACTTCTTGATTTTGAATGAATTTTCTTTTGTATTTAAAGAAATAATGTGTTAAAAATCTGAAAAGCAACTCCTGATTGACGTTTCCAAAAAATTGTAGTTACCGAGTGCATTGTGCATATCAATTTAAAATGTACATTGTACACATATAGAAAAACAGTGAAATTATTCATATTTCTTCAGCAATATGTGCAAAGATAAAATGCCTAAGGAACAACATGGGTAACTTGCAAAGAATAGGTTCTTTTAGCACCATTTAAAAAAATAAAAGTGCACAAGTTGATGAGCATATTTCATTATATACAGTGAATTGGACTTTTTTTTTTAAAGAGGAAACAAAAAGCAGCAAAAGGGTACACGTAATACAGAATTTCAAGAAAATAATATACAGTAAGCAATCACAGGGTCTGGGGATTTAGCTTAGTGGCTTAAGCACCTGCCTTGCAGCAGGCGGTCATGACTTCGATCCCTGGTACCGACAAATAGTTAAAAAAAAAAAAAAAAAAAAAAAAAAAGCAAAAAGAAAGCACTAGTTAATAGGTTACATATTGTCATCTTAAAAACCATTGTCCAAATTACAAAATTAAAACATACAAACTAGACATTCATACAGTGAAATTGCAGACAGTTTAGTTCAATGAACCAATAAAAACTCAGTAATATGGTTTTCTATCCACACACTTAAATATACATGCAGTTATATCCTTTAGACCACTTTCTTTTCCTCTCTTTTTTACAATAACAATTATACTTTTTGGGTTTTATTACTCCCTCAATTCTTATACCTTTTTTTTTTTTTGAAGAAAAAAGAAAAACAAAAATAACTCAAATGTGACAAAGCAAAATAGAGTTAGAACAGAAGGATGGACATAGTACATGATGCAAAAACAATACCAGGTGATCAACAATGGTTACCATTATGCCTCTTGCTATCTTAAAAAGAGTTGCCTATATCATCAGGTGTAATAGAATTGAACAAAACGATACAGAACAAGACCAATAAAACCTACATTGGAGACCTTACAGGACTTCAAAAGAAGATAATAGTCAAACCATAATGGGCATCATAGTAAACCTTATTGCCTTCAAAGTGGTTGCCTATACCCTCAAACTTGATTCTATCAAACAAAACAGAATATAGTAAAATCAGTCAGAGCAAGATGGGGAGAGCAAAACAGGGATTCAAATCAGGTTAATAGGAAACCAAAAAAGTTACTATACTATATCCTGCTATTTTTAAATTTAGTTTCCCCTTATTTAAAAAAATAAAAAATAAATTAATTTTTTAAAAAAAGAGAAAAGGGGGAGATTGAGATAAAAGCGGACATAGTAACAGAACAACACAGGTCACAACCGAACAATTTAAGCATCATTGTGTTTCACCACCAGATAACCCGACATAATAGTAGTCACCATAGTGTCTCTTTCCTTGAATTATTTGAGTATAACTTCGTATACTATAGCAGAAAACATATCAAGACAGTGTGAAGCCAGTGAATTGGACTTCGACACTAGGATGCAGAGCATTTGGTCATATAGTACTAACGCATATTCTAAAAGTATATGGTGTCAAAGAAAATCATCAGGATTCAAAGGAAACTTTGTCAACTGGGCAAAAAAACACTGTATGCCTTGTCTCACTGTTGGTCTTCAATAAATATCCTGGCAGCAACTTTCACCTGAAAAGAAAAAAGAAGGAGCTATAACCCCTTTATTTCACTTTCTCTGTTGAAAATGAAATCAAACACATGAATAATCTCAGAAAATGTGGTGCTTCTCTCAAGAAATCTAAAAAAGAGATGGAAAAAAAAATGTTGTGCTCCATACATCTGAGACTTGGCACACATCAGGGTGATTGGCAAGGATCTCAGGGCACGTAGTTGCTCAAGTTTTTGAGGAGCTGAGTGTGCTGAGCGTCACACTGAAGCATTCTTTGATCCCTGCTACAGCCTCATTGACAGGATGTTCCCTGTCTCATGGAGATTTCTTATACTTCGCATAGTCTCCCATAAGTGAACGCACATTCCTCTTGGTAGGAAGATGAAAAGCTGTTCCTGTCCACTAATTAAGTCTCGGTTATCAGTAAGTCATGGTGTCAGAAATCTTCACTTTAATTCCCACTGTGTTCATAAGTGTTTCTTCACTTTCAGGAATAGCATCTTCCCAGGCCCTCTGCTTTGAGGACGCTGAGATGTCTCACTGCTGTCTTGTTGGTACTGCCACCACTTCCATTACCAGCAATTTTGTTTGTTCCTTTTTGTTTTCACATCAACATTTTTCTGTTGCAGACCAGATGTCTTCTTTCCTGGAGCAGCCCTCTCACCTTTCCCTCTGCACAGTGTTCCCGACTAGCTTTGTGAAGTTCTTGCTGTTTCTGCAGATTGGTGCCCATCTACCAGAATAGTCTTCTTTCTGAAATCCGTTGGTTCCCAATCTTGATTCCCACCACTGTATAATATCTAAACCGTCTTACTTGTTGCTTTTACATACTTTGCTTCATTAAGAAGAGACCCATAGAAGAGAGTACTTGTTTACTCTCCTAGAATTTGGGTTAACTACATTTTTAATCATATTCTTCTCGTTACCTTCCATTTCACCATCATTTAATTTCTTTCACGTGCGTGTGAGGTGCTCATTTGTTCTTATCAACTTTAACAGAGAGTACTATCGACTATTCTCCATCATTCTACTTTTTTTTTTTTTTTTTTTTTTTTTTTGGCTTTTTGAGACAGGGTCTCACTATGCTTTTCAGGCTGGCCTTGAGCTCAGTTTGTAGCCTAGGCTGTTCTTGAATCACAGTGATCCTCCTGCCTCAGCCTGCCAAGTGCTAGTATTACAGGCATGAGCTACCATGCCCAGCTTCATTCTAGTATTTTTTATCATTCCATTATTGTCCATAGACTTGTGCCAATAAAAGTGTATCCATTAGCATTTTAATGATTACTTATAAAGATTATTTAATGTTTAAGTTTTTTTCAATGAAACGTGATTTGAGTTTCCAAATGCTGCCTATGTAGAAAAAAAGGTGGGCTCAATTCTAGGAATAATCAAATTTGAAAAGAGATAGATAATGTATGGTGTATCATTGCCATTCACGAGATATTTATCTGTTCCTATGCTTTGTGGATGGTGATTTGAAAGCTTCCTCTAAGATACACTTTAAAGGCAGTACACATAAGCATTTTGGGTGACCCTGCAGGGAACCCGTGCAATTATTGTAAATTTGCTTTAATAGTTGCATCCGAATTGCTCTGTGCAAATATGTGCATGTACATGGTTTTGGTGACCGGTACATGGAATTACTGTTTGAAGGAATCGACTTTGATTCAGGTTTTATAACAAGATTTGAGGTAACTCAGGCTGTGAGTCTCAACGTTCTTTGTGGTAACTGTGTGATTATTTAGGAGGCAGTGACCTTTGAGGATGTGGCTGTGAACTTCACCACAGAGGAGTGGGCTCTGCTGAATCCATCACAGAAGAAGCTCTACAGAGATGTGATGTTGGAAACATTTAGGAACATGGCTGCTGTAGGTAAAGATGACAGCATTTTCTCATTGCTACAGTCAGAGAGCTTTGTGCTCATTCATTCCTGCAGTTTAATTAAATAGAACATGGAAGCATTTTGCAGACTGTCTTAGGTTCCATTCATTATACTATGAATCTACCCAGAATGTGTTCATTTTTATATAGTGGTATAGTGACTTCTGTATTTTTCTGTCTGTGATTCAGGAAGAACGTGGGATAACCAGCAAATTGGACAAGAGTACAAAAATTGCTCAAAGAATCTAAGGTAACTTGAACTTAGAAAAAAATGTTCCTCAAGAGTCAATTTGTGAGCAGAAATGTTATAAATGAGGCCATGTTGAAATTAATGGCTCAAAAATTCTGTGGAGATGGATAAATATGATTCTATATAATCTGAAGATGCAATACAGAAATATTCCAATATAGGAAACTGAGATAATACTGATATTATGCAAGAAATATCACTATCAGGCATGTTAATATAAGAAAATTTTTTCATGAATAATATCATTGAATTGTACCACATATCATTTTGATAGTATTTATAGAAATATGTGAAAAGAAAAAATTTTTAATTTTGAAAATAACTCATATACAAGGTATCTATTTATGCGTCTGCCACACACATTATGAGTGTGCCACTCTCATTATGAAATAGCTACATGGCAGCAGTATTCAAAATGCAAATGAATGCCAGTATTGTGATAATAAGTGTTTTCAAAACATTCCCCAGAGATTTAGTCCACTCATGTTTTAAAATTCATACAAGGTACCCACATACATTTTCAGTCAGAATATAAACCAGAACCATAGTGATAGTGAACATAGAGATGTCTCAAAGTAAGAATAGAAGTATCTGTTTGAACCTAGAAATACCTGCTTGGGTATATTCACAAAGGAGTTGAAATTATTTATTACCGTGATTTGTGCATACACGTAATCAATGCAGGTTTCCCATAGATAGTCACAGTAGCTAAGATTTGAATACAAGTCACATTAGTTGAGCTCTGGAAATAACCCAGGTACCCATCTCTGGAAGCCTGGAAATGGAAATGTGGGGCCTGCTCTACATGGTAGTACATTTTGTAATCCCTGCAGTTTGGGAAGCTGAATCAGTATGATGACAACCTGATGTTCAGGCTGAAGAAATTAATGATCCATGAGAATCTGTCGAAAGAAAAAAAATTCTAGAATTAAAATTCAGTGCTAAGATGTGTGTTTAATTCTCAGACCAGAAAATGTGTGCTCGGCCAGGGATATAGCTCAGTGGCAAAGCACCAGCCTGGCAAGCATATGATCGAGAGTTCAGTTGCTAGTAACAAAAAAGAAAAAATGTGCAATATTTATGGGCATATAAAAGAATATCGTGTCTTTGGCCAAAAACCAAAAATAGTTGGCACTCCATCCCATAATATTAGGAAGTTGTCAGACACAGGAAGTGATATGTCATGTTTCTCTTAAATAAGAAACTCAAAAAAATGTAATCGGTAAAAGAGAAGTGATAGAAAACCGAAAGTTGCTTTTGGAAGTAGGAAAGATGTTCAGGTTAAGGAGAGAATGGGAGAGTGATTATTTAAAAGGTATCAAAATTCATCAAAATGTAAGACTCAATATGCAACACTGATCCCCTAAATGAAACTAGACCTTGTATATTGTAGATAGGTACTAATGAAAAATTTCCATCCAAATAAATACCATCTTTTTGGAAATTGATGTTTTGCAGGCACTCTCATAGCTATTAGGTCAATTCATTGTTGAAATTTCTTAGCAGGCATCCAACTAGAACTTGTCCTAGTAAATTAATATGAAGACCATTTTTATTGTGGTATTTTGTTCATTTTTTATTACAGAAATGAGGTGGGAAAATGCTATCAATATAATGTTTGGAAACAACAAGAATTACGTATTTGGACTCCAGATGCTCATGTAGACATGCGCCAACCTGCTTTAAAGCCAAGTGAAAGCCTTGCTTGTAGGAAGCCTTTGATTGGGCATAGGAGCCTAAATGAGCCTATCACGGCTCTCACTCAGCTGAACCCAGATGATTATTTGGGATTTGAAGAGAAACTGTATAAATGCAATGGAAATAGAAAAACCTGCACTGATACTCAATTCTTTCAGAACCATGAAATGAGAAAACTTGGAGAGAAACGCTGTCAATGTGAGCACTGTAGGAAAGTCTCCTCTGACCCTAGTGAACCAAGTTACACTGGAGAGAAGATCTTTTTAGGTAAGAAAAGTGTAAAAGCCTCCAGCATACTCCATGATGTTCAAATGCCTGAAAGAAATCATAGTGAGGAGAATCCATATTTATTCGAGCAGTGTGGGAAACCATTCATTTCTTCATACCATATTCAAATACATGAAAGAAAACATGTAAATGAAAAGGCTTATATATCTAAGGCATATATGAAAATACTAGCTCATAGTAATTCCTTTCATAGACATAGAAGAATTCACACTGGGAAGAAACTGTATGTATGTAACCAGTGTGGGAAAGCATTCGTTACACAGAGGTCCTATAAAACACATGAAAGTAATCATACAGCTGAGAAATCCTATGTAGGAAAGCAATATAGAAAACAATTCAGTGATAAGCCCAAATATCGTAAACATACAAAATCTCACGCTGGTGAGAAATCCTATGTATGTAAGCAGTGTGGAAAAGCATTCCACAGGTACAGTCACTGTCAAAATCATGAAAGAACTCACACTGGGGAGAAACCCTATGTATGTGAGCAGTGTGGAATATCTTTCAGCCAAAAAGCAAGTTTACAGAAACATCAAGGAATTCACACTGGTGAGAAACCCTATGCATGTAAGCAATGTGAAAAAAGATTTACCAACAAGTCCACATATCATAGACATACAAGATGCCACAGTGGTGAGAAACCCTATGTATGTACGCAATGTGGAAAAGCATTCAACAGACGCAGTCATTGTCAAAGACATGAAAGAGTTCACAGTGAGGAGAGACCCTATGTGTGTAAACAGTGTGGGAAAGCATTCACTACACAGAATTATTTTCAAATACATGAAAGAATTCATACTGGGGAGAAACCCTATGTATGTAAGCAATGTGGAAAGTCTTTCATCCAACAGAGTAATTGTCATGTACATGAAAGAATTCACACTGGAGAGAAACCCTATGAATGCAAGCACTGTGGAAAAGGGTTTGCTGATAAGTCCACATTATCTAGGCACAGAAGATCCCACACTGGAGAGAAGCCCTATGCATGTAAGCAATGTGGGAAAGCGTTCAGCACACTCAGTCACTGTCGAAGACATGCAAGTATTCACAGTGGAAATAGACACAGGAAAACCTACGTGTGTGAACAATGTGGGAAAACATACACTAGACAAAAATTTTTTCAAATACATGCAAGAAGTCACACTGAAGAAAAGCTGTGAATCAGTAATGTGAGGAATCTTCAGCCAGCAGAATACTTGTCAAAGACGTGAAGGAATCCACTCAGAAGAAACCCTATGTATGAAAGGAATGTGAGGAAACATTCAGTACTGACAAGTGCCCTCAAACACATGAAGATGGCATACTGGGGCAAACGATATGTGTGAAGGCAGAGTGAGTAAGATGGGATGCACTCACTGCAGTAAATTTATATTTGTAAGATGTGTGTGAAAACATACAATGATATCATTTAAATGGTTGAATAAAGTCACACTGGGCAGAAAGCCTGAAGTCAGCAATAAAGGAAAGATTTTGGCATATTTGGGTACTGTCAAAAACATGAAGTCACACTGGAGAGAAATTCCATGCAAGCCTATTTTGATTATGATTGGCTTTTTTTTTTTTTTTGCTTTTGAGATGGGGTCTCAATATACACTTCAGACTTTTTCTTTAGCTCACTTTGTAGCTCAGGCTGGTCTTGAACTCGCAATGATCCTTCTGCCTCAGCTTCCCCAGTGCTGGGATTACAGGTGTGTACCACCACATCCATCTCATGTAATGGAGACCTGTAGAAATAATATGAACATTTTGTTGCCAATATTTCCTTAATAATATCCCAGAAAATATATTCCACAAAGGAGATATCCTAAACTGTATTCATTCTGTGTTTCTCAGTAAATTATATATGGGCAAGGGATTTAGCTCGTAGCACAAGCGCCTGCCTGGCAAGCACAAGATCATGTGTTAGATCCCTGGTATCAAAAAATAAAGAAAGTAAAATACTTGTAAATACTTAGTTTATGTATTTGGGGTCTGTAATATAATAAAATTGATTTGACACAATCATATTTTTGTTTATGCCAGTGTTTTTGCATTTTACTGTGTCTTTAGGTGAATTTAAATATAGTTTTCACATCCAAATAGGATTAGTATTTATGTAGTAATTATTTTGCTTTGTTTTTACAGTTGGGAGAAGTAGACCACTAAAAGTAAATTTTAATTGGGTTTCCATTGTTGGGAATGGTCTACTAGCCTTGATTTAAATTTTGTTTTTGCATATATTTCATATCCTGTATTAAAAAAACTATTTTTGAACTTGATGTTATATTTGATGTAGATATTGTGACCATGCTTTTGACAAACATCAGTTTTCATACAGCTTGTGTATTATCCTCACAAAACACCTGCATATGTCCCAGCATAATAGTATATTATATCAAGTACACAATTTTGCTTAGTTTGCCTTGATGTTGGAATGAATATTATATCTTATATAAAATTCTACATTTTCTTTTTTTAATTTTTTTTTTTTGTTTGTTTTTCTCTTTTATCAGTACCGGGGATCGAATTCACCATCGCCTGCTTGCAAGGCAGGCGCTTATGCCGCTGAGCCTTTGGGGCCCCAGCCCCCAAATTTTACATTTTCTTATCAAAAGTTTACTTTTCATGCTTCTCTTACGAGGACTTTTAATCTTGTCATAATTTTTCCAACACTTTTACCAAAAAATCAACCATTCTGCTCTGAGTTTCTGATGCTAGAGATCAGCAGAAACATAAATTGTCTACAAGCGGATATCACAAGTTACAGTAATCTCTGCAAAAATATAAATGGTGGAATGATTTATCTATAACTTCATTTTCAAAGGAGTTTTTGTCAGCAGTGAAGTGTTTTGGGAACAATATATAGGTTTTTGGAAGAATATTATTGGCTATGTTAAGGCAAATTCCTTTATTCTATTACCTATGCTGGCAATGCTACTGACTTTGGTAATTGGTTTAACAAGAAGATTAAATAATGCCATGAAGGAAAATACACAGTCAGTTTAATAAAAAGAAGTACTAATTTATGATTTATGTTGTGTTTTGTTTGACCAACTTTATGAATAAATTTATAAAATCTGCTTTTTCAGGGTCCATCTTGACCAATGCTTCAGTGACCAATGCTTGATGTTTGAGAAATGTGAGAAATCAGTGAACACAGTTACTGCCAAGCTGTGAGCATGAGGCCCATGGGTCTCCTTGAGCTGTGCTTCGCTTTTCTATTTAAGAATGAAATATTTTACAGAGTTTTTGAATACAAACTCGATTTCTGATGGGATATAGTGATCAACCTGTGATAACAAAAATATAAATGAATAATAAATACCCACAATACAGTAAACATTATATAACTTACTCTAGCATTAATTATGCTTAGATCTATAAACAACTCCCTAGTGTAGTGATAACATCTAAAATTGTGTCTACATTATTTCTGAAGTAATTCATGGAATGTAACACATATCACAATACAAAGTCACTACTTTATATTTTGGAATACGTGGCTAACTTCCCTGTTGCTCATATCTGCTGTTTCCCATCACTTTGAAGATATAGAGAAGGTATTGCTTTTGCCATTGCAGCCAGTGATGAAATACTCAAAATACAAGGTATTTTATCCCGAGCACATTTACTTTACCATTATTTTATCACAAACAAAATCTTTCTGTTCCTTGTGATGCAGGAGGAAACTAAAATTGAGGCTACACCATGCAACTCAGACCCCATCTCAGAATACACAGGAAACTAGGAGATGTAGTTCAGTGCTTTTGTACTCTTACCTTTACTCCGAAAAGCAAATAAGGCCTGTTTCACTGATAAGGCAATGAAATGAACTGATTCATCCCATACTGCTCAAGGGGACCTCATACTGTCATGTGCAAGGGCTCCAGGTTGCTCTAGACAGCCATCCTCTGAGGTCAGGGATTATTTCCACATGACATAATCTGACACCCCTGAGCACAGTTGTGGCCCTATTCCCGGGAGGAAGATGCAGGAAACATCCACCAAAAGTAGTTACAAAGATGCCTCCTCTGGAGTGACAGCACCAGGTTCAGTTGAAATGCAGTGATAACGAAGTCAACCACTTGCACTCCAGGTGTAACCCAGGGATATAATCTGTCACTTTGTCATCATAACCATTTGATCTCAGAGGTTGGGTCTTTGATCCCCAGTCATTGAGAGATGCAGGAAGGTTTTATGATCTCATGCACTTGAGAGCAGAAGTGAACAGTCAGGAAACCCCATCATCCCTAAAGGAATCGTCTTTTATATTTTGACTACTGTGCTTCAGACCCAAAGATATCTGCCAAGAAAGCGCCCAAGATTTTCAGCTTCCCTTGCTGTGCAGCTTCCTCAGACTGTCACACAGTCTCAGGAATTTTGTAGACATAGAAACTCTAGAAGCTGGCAATGTAAGTGTGGGCTGAGATGCTCTGAGATAGATACAGATAAATCCAGAACTTCACCATGAAATCTCAAGCTTTATTTTTTTTTAACTTTTTTTTTTTGTCTTTTTTTTTTTTTTTTTTTTTTTTATCGGTACCGGGGATCGAACTCGCGACTGCCTGCTTGCGAGGCAGATGCTTATGCCGCTTAGCTAAATCCCCAGCCCCCGAAGTCTCAAGCTTTTGACCTGTCCTTCTACTGCTTTACCCCTGATGGCCTCTTGTCTGTGATTTGACTGGCAGCGAGGGCCCCAGCATCCTATCCTGCTTCAACTTTGTCCTCATACAAATCTCGATCTGTTTGCAGTTGCCCTGTACCTCTGTGTCCTGCCATGCTCTGTGGACTCCATGATTTCATCCATGTATGTCTACAGGCCCATGTTAGGGTTTCTGCATAGAAAGAGGTACAGATCATGCATCTTCAGTCTCTATTGTCTCTGGGGCATTGTTGAGATTTCCAGTTGTCTCCCTCCAAGTACTAACCAGGCCCGACCCTGCTTAGCTTCCGAGATCAGACGAGATCGGGCGCGTTCAGGGTGGTATGGCCATAGATAATTATCTGTCCACTGCTCTATAACTCTATGCATCTGTTTATCACTATTCTATCCATCTATGCTGTATCATACTCCCATTTGTTTACCTATCAATTATGTATTCATTTATTCTCTTTCTACCTATTAATCTACTATCATATATCATCCAGTTTTGTACCATGTAATTATCATCCATGCATATATCAACTATAATATAAAAATTTGCCAGAGATATAGCTCAGTGATACAGCACTCGTCTGACGACCGTGAGATCCTGAGGTAGATTTCTGGCTAAAAAACAAAAAAGGACAACTTTATAATATAAATATATATTATCTGTTCAACCACCTGTACAAGTACCCCAACTATCCGCTCTGTCTTTTATATATATATATTCCACCTAGTTTTCTATGCTTTATTGTCATAATATTTGTATAAAACTAGGCATTTAGTTTATAAAAGTTCACGTACCTAGGGCTGGGGATTTAGCTCAGCAATATAAGTGCCTGGCTGGCAAGCCTGAGGTTGTGAGTACCAAAAAATAAGAAATAAAAAAATTCGTGTCTCTGCAAATAGGTAAAGACATGTAGAATTATCAACGTATTATGAACATCAACACCCCTCTTTTATATACAACCTGCAAAGGCCACTGCTGCACACTTGTATTTTGGGACATGAATATTTAAGGTGTACTGCTCTGAAAAAAAATTTAAGTATATTATGCAAGACTGCTACTTACTGTCCTGTGTTGTGCTGTAATTCCCAGAACTTGATATTCTTGCACAACTAAAAATTTGTCCCCTGTGATCAGTACTCTTTTTTTCTCTTCCCCACCAGACCCAAGGTAACCATCTTTCTACTATCTGCTTCTCTTTCATCATTTTATGGTCTACGTATAAACAGGATCATGCAGTATTTGCCTTTTCTGTGTCTCACCTGCAGCCCTAATAATGGAGAGACTAGAGTGCTGTGACAGGGAGAATGCTGGCACACAGACTAACCCAGGTAATCACATTCAGAAACACTGGAACAAGTCATGTTTTAAGGCTGCTTCAGGGAAAAGGTCAATGTGATGACAGTCGTCTGGACTGTGTGTGTTCACTGAAGTGACCTTGGCTGTGTGTCTGTCTGCAGGGAGGTTACCTCCTGAGAAAACTGACCACAGATAACTGTTTACACCGGAAGGACGCCTCAGAGTCTAACCAAGTCAGGCAAAGTTCCTTGCTGCTACAAAGGCCTATTGACACCAATTTAATTTTTTTTATAAAGAGTAGAACAGTGTGACAGTTTCCTCAGCAGGATGTCTCTGTAAACACAGGCGTTCCGCGTGAAGAGCAGCTAGTGGAGTCTGGGGAGACGTTCTGCAGCCTGATGGGTCCCTGAGAATCTTTGCAGCCTCCAGATTCACCTTCAGCGATTACTACAAGGACCAGGGCCATCAGGCTGCAAGAAAGGAGCTGAAATCGGTGGGTGTGCTTAGAAAAAGAAAGACAATAGATGCACGACAGAATACTCCACATCTGTGAAAGACGGATTCGCCGTTTCTAGAGATGGTTCCAAAGCACTGCCAAGGTGCATGCACAAAGTCTAAGAACCCACAACGCGGCCTTCTGACACTGTGCCAGACAGCTGGGAGAGACATCAGTGTGAGCCCAGATGCGAACCTCCCTGTAGTGTTGCTCGCGGCCAGAAGGGGCGCGCGAAACTCACTGAGCTCAGGGTTTCCAGAGCTGCAGGACCAGGGACAGGGCGGGTGGGAGCTGCTAACAGCTGGTGTTCTGTCAGGGTCTGGCTCTTCCTCTCCAGCTAATATTCTCCCAGAGAGCGATTCTATGTGTACGGTCCTGCTCCTACCACAGATTTCTCTGAATCGGGAAAGTTTGATGGGGAAAAGTTCATGGGGAAGAATATGGAGACACATTGTCACTGCAGTAAGACCCACGCAGTAAGACTCACTTATGGAAACAAAGAGGAATCCACTGTAACTGTAATGGGGCTCAGACCCTGAGGGAGCTCAGGGCGCGCTGGGTGAGGCCTTTCCACTCAG